CCCATCAGTTGCTGAGAGAGGAGTGATAAAATCTTCAGGAATAATTGTGGAATTGGCTATTTCCCACTTTAATTCTATTTTTGCTTCATGTATTTTAAACCTCTATTATTACGATTGTCTTGTCTTTCTGAAAAAATGATCCTTTTTTCATTGTGAAATGGTCCTCTTTATCTCTGGTAGTATATTTTATTTGATATTTATTTTATCTGATTATTAATATTGGCATTCTAGCCTTCTTATGCTTACTGTCTGCGTGCTATGTCTTTTTCTCCATTCATTTACTTTCAACCTGTGTCTTTGTATTTAAAGTGTGTATCTTGTAGATAGCATATTGTTGGGTCTTAGTTTTTTTTTTCCTGACATTCTTGGACTTTTAATTGGTGTGTTGGTTTTCTTTCTTTCTTTTTTTTTTTTAGGATTTATTTATTTATTTATTTTTAAAGATTTATTTATTTATTTATTTGACAGAGAGAGACACAGTGAGAGAGGGAACACAAGCAGGGGGAGAGGGAGAGGGAGAAGCAGGCCTCCCGCAGAGCAGGGAGCCCGATGCGGGGCTCGATCCCAGGACCCTGGGATCCTGACCTGAGCCGAAGGCAGACGCTTAATGACTGAGCCACCCAGGTGCCCCTATTTATTTATTTATTTTAGAGAGAGATGGACACAAGGGAGGGGGAAAGGGCAGAAGGAGAGGGGGAGAGAGAATCTCAAGCAGCCTCCCCACTGAGCATGGAGCCTGACACAGGGCTCAATCTCAGGATCCTGAGATCATGACTTGGCCAAAATCAAGAGTTGGACTCAAACCAACTGAGTCACCCAGGCACCCCTTAATTGATTTTTTAATGCAATTATTGCTTTACTGTAACATTTAATGTAATTATTGCTATGATAAGTTTACATTTATCATTCTGTTTTTTCCTATTTGTTTATTTTCTGTTCCTCTGTCCCTCTTTTCCCTCCTTTTGGATTATTTGAATATAGAATTTCAATTTAGTATTTCTGTTGGGTTTTTTTTTAGCTATTCTTGTTTGCATTGTTCTCTGGTAGTTCCGTAGGGATTACAATACACATCTTTAACTTTTCACAGGTCCCTTATAGTTGATAATGTATAATATTAAAATCTTATGTAAAATATTAAAGCCTTATAGATCCATATCTTCCCCATCCTTTATGTTATGGTAGTTACATGTCTTATATATACACACTTATGAATTCTGTCAGGCGATGTTATAACTTTCAACTTCAACGGTTTAAAGGTTTATAAGAACATTAACAGGAAAATGCAAGAAAAAAGATAAGTCTTGAACTCACTCAGATATTTATCACTTCCAGTGCTCTTCATTCTTTCCTGAGTGTCTGAGTTTACATCTTATATAATCTCCCTTTACTCTGAAGAACTTCCTTTAGTATTTCTTGTAATGTTGATCTGCTGGCAATGAATTCTTTCAGTTTTCATTTATTTTTATTTTTTTTCTTTGCCTTCACTGTTGGAGGATATTTTTGCTGGATATAGAATTCTGGATTGAATTTTCTTCATTCAGTACTTTATTATTTTTTTTAAAGATTTTATTTTGGACAGAGGGAGAGAGTGTGTACACACAAGCAGGGGGGAGGGGCAGTGGGAGAGGGAGGAGCAGACTCCCCACTGAGCAGACAGTGCAATGCAGGGCTCGATCCCAGGACCCTGGGATCATGACCTGAGCTGAAGGCAGACGCTTAACCGACCGAGCCACCCAGGCGCCCCCATTTAGTACTTTAGAGATGTTCTACTGTCTTCTGTCTTCATGGTCCTTTCCCAGCATATACTATGTCCATTTGCTCTTGCTGCTTTCAATAAGTACACTTCATCTGGTTTTCAGCAGTTTGATCGTGATATACCTTGGGGTGGTTTTTGTTTTTTTACATTTCTGTCCTTCACCAAATTTAGGATATTTGGGGCCTTTATATTTTAGATAATTTTTTCTGCCTCATTCTCTTTCTTTTTATATTCCAGTGTCATGTGTGTTGGACTGTTAGAGATCATCTAACAAATCCCCATCTGACTTGGTTAATTTTTTTTCCTCCGTTCTTTCCTCTGTGTTCTTCACCCTGGAGACGTCCTCCGCTAAATCTCAGTTTTACTTGTCTTTCCTCCATCACATCCATGCAGCTGCATCCAGTCAGCGAATTCTTTACTCCCAACATTGTATTTTTCAGTTCTAGAACTTCCATTTGGTTCATTTTTATTGTTTCTGTTTCTCTGCCAATGCTTCCCACTTCTCCGTTGAAATTTTCATTCACTGGAAATATCTCATTTTCCTTATCTGTTAGTTCCAATATTTTGTTCATTTTGGAGTTGGACTCCATGTGTTTTCTTTTCTCTTGAGACTCTGTTCCATTTCTTGATTCTTAGAACGTTGAGCAATTTTGGATTATATCCTGGACATTACAAATCTTAAGTTGTGGGGATTTTGTCTTCTCTTATTTTCCTCTGAGAAGTATCCTTTCCTTTGTCTTTGTGGCTGCATTCCTTGGCTGGACTTGAACTGCAAACTGCTTCTTGGGTGGAGCCTCCAATCTGAGTACCACTCCTCTGCTGTTAGCGGCGGTACTTGAGTCTGTTCCATGCAGATGCAGTTGCCGGGTCAGCCAGAGCTGGGATAGGCAGAATTTGGGAATCCCCCTCTGGCATCTTCCCTTCTGGAATTTCCCCACTCTCCTCAGTGTTCACAGTTTTTGGACTTCACTTCCTGGTTTTCTTCAGACAAAATGGCTACAGGGTTTCCCACATGTACTCTCAGCCCCTCCGTGTACCACTTAGATGTGGCTAGAAGCCACGCAAAAGGGATTTACTTTTATATTTTTTCCAAGTGAGTGTAAACTCCCCCCCCCGAGAGTCTATATACCTGTGTCTCCTCTCCAGTACTTTCAAGGAGTTGTTTTTTTGTATCATTTCCAGGCTTAAAATTGCCTTCTGCGGGCAGGAGGGGGGGTGGTGCTGTCTAGAAGGGGTCTGTTATACCTGGAAGCAGAAGCAACTCCATGATGCTTACGTTGTAGTTGGGAGATAGCTGATAAGCTAACAAGAGCACAGTAATGCTATGGAAGAAATAAATAAGGTTGAGGTGATCCAAGTACCGACCTTAGGTTAGGTTGTTAGGAAGGGTCTCTGAAGGGCTCTGGTTGAGTTGACACCTAAAGAACAGAAGAATTTGGTCATGCAAAAAGCTCATTGAGAAATGTTTCAAGAAGGGGCGCCTGAGTGGCTCAGTCCATTGAGCATCTGACTCTTGATTTTGGCTCAGGTCATGATCTCAGGGTTGTGAGATTGAGCCCTGCATCGAGCTCCTTGCTGGGCATAGAGCCTGCTTAAGATTCTATCTCTCCTCTCCCTCGGCCCCTCCCCTGCCCCTCTCTCAAAAAAATAAAATAAAAAAGGAGATGTTTCAAGTAAAAGCAACAACAGATACCAAAACTCTTAGGGCAGTTGCAAAAGGTCAGTGTGACCAAGGCACGGAGAGTGAAAGGAATGACATGAAATGAGTTTCAGAGGCAAGGAGACTGTGAGACCTGGGAGGCCTTGATAAGGAATTGGCAGTTCACGGCTCTATACAAGAGACTAGGCTTGCCTTTGCTGTAAGGCGATGCTTACCAAACAGATTTGACTACTCGTGTTGCTTTGTCCGAGTAGCCAGACCTTAGCAGGCATGACTGATACATAGTGTAGTCTTGTTTGTTTGTTTTTAATGAAGTAAAAAATTTTATTTGTATGGTCTTAGATTCTGCATTGCTGCTAACTTTTATAACATTACCATCTATCATGTTTTGACTGAATAACAAGATTATCCATAATTATCTGAAGAGGCTATTAAAATATTTCTTCCGTTTCCTACTACATGTCAGCATGAGGCCAAATTTTCTTCATATATTCCAACCAAAATGACATAGCACAGCAGATTGGAATGCAGAAACAAATTCAGTTATTTTCTAATAAGTCAGACATTAAAGAAAAGTTTTAAATATTCAAAATGTCAATCTTTTCACAAAACTTTTTGTTTTGAAAAACAGCAGTTTTCCATAAAAATGTGTTATTGAACATGTCATACTTTTGCTATTTTTAAATAGGTCATGATTAAATATTTATAAAATGCCTGTTTTAATTTTCAGTATAGTAGATATTGATGGACATAATTCACAAATAAGGTATTTGTGGTCCTCAATAATTGTTACTAATATAAAGGAGTCCTGAGACCAAAACCCATTTGATAACTGCTATGTTAAAGCTATTGTACATGGGAAAGATGATACATTAACTTTAAGTACATAGTGAAATCATGCAAAAAGTTTTTTTTCCCAAATTTCTATTTAAATTCTAGTTAGCATATAGTGCGTAATATTGGTTTCAGGAGATAGTGTAGTCATAAGATTATCTGACCACCCCGTCGGCTAGCATCAATAGCACAAAAGCTAGAAGGCCATGCGGTGGATTTCGGCAGTGTGTGTGCAGTTGAAGTGGGTACACCCTAGCCCCCCCCACAAGGTCTCCGACATCATAGGAAAGAAAATACGTTGCCTTGTGTTACAATAATATAATGACAATTAAAACCACAGCTAAGGGTGCCTGGGTGGCTCAGTCGTTAAGCATCTGCCGTCGGCTCAGGTCATGATCCCAGGGTCCTGGGATCGAGCCCCGCATCGGGCTCCCTGCTCCGCGGGAAGCCTGCCTCTCCCTCTGACCCTCCCCACTACTCGTGCTCTGTCTCTCTCCCTCTCTGTCTCAAATGAATAAATAAAATCTTTAAAAAAAAACAAACCTCATAGCTAAAAAGAAGTGAAAAGCACAAGCAGAACGAGAAAGACTGTAGCAGAATGAGGTGTAGTGGTTCTGGGTAGTAAACACTGTCCCACATGGTTTCTGCCTAAGAGCGGTTATTCGTTTTAGCCATGTGCGCCTGCACGGGTGTTGGTCTGATTTCTCTGGGGAGTGCTAAAGAGTCACGGGTTCCTCTCCTTTGGTTCAGATGACAGCGCTTCGGCTGCCAGTAGCATGGAGGTGACAGACCGCATTGCCTCCCTGGAACAGCGTGTCCAGATGCAAGAGGATGACATCCAGCTGCTCAAATCGGCGCTGGCGGACGTGGTTCGGCGGCTGAACATCACGGAGGAGCAGCAGGCTGTGCTGAACAGGAAAGGACCTACCAAAGGTGGGCGTCTTAGATGTGCAGGAACAGCGGTCGGCTTGGTCTCGTAGCAGGTGTTTGCCCCTAGTGCATACGTGCACTCCTCAGCGTTGACAGAGACCGGAGACTCAGAACATTGATGAGCTGGTCTCGGCATTGCCAGAATCATCACACAAAGCGGGACGGGGTTTTTTCGGCTTAATGTTAGTGAGTTGTTCAGCCCAGGGGTGTACACGTGGAGGTGATCAGTAAATGCTCAGAACCACCCACGGTAGACTGTTGGGAACAATTGTTTATCATGGGATGGAAGTAGCTTGCGAGGCAGAACCTAGAACCAAAAACCCCACGATCCTTTGGGCGCCCTGGAGGCTGTTCCAAACTTCTTGATAACTCTCCTCTCTTTCTCTATACTCAGCTTGTCTGCTACCGTTCAGTTCAGCACAGCCAACGCTTAATTATCCTATGCCACAGCGAAGCTCGGAGCCGAGAACTGGGGGCCCAGAGGGCAGGCCCTTCCCTGAGGAGCTCAGAACCCGAAAGTTCATCACTCACTGCCCCCCCCTTGTAGTTAGGAAGCTCCTCCTGGGCATAGCCTCCTGTTTCTTTCGAATCTCCTGCTCTGCCGTCCAGGAGAATGTAGTCTACTGCAGAATTCTGTACCTAGTGGGTTTCCAGCAAATTTAAATCATCATTTCATTTCCCTGTGGTGCCTATGTGTGAAACATAAAAAAAGCAATATTTGTGTTTGAAGTAACTTTGTAGTGACCCTCTTCTTAAAATCTGGAAGTACAACGCCTCATTAAAGCTTCTGTCCTACTAATCATAGTCAGTCCCCCTGATGTCTGCTTTCAACCCATATACATTGCTCATCGTTTGCCAGGATTTCTGTTCCTTGTGGCTAACTTAAGAAAACAGAATTCATCTTGGCTGTTAAATTCCTTTGATTAAAATATTTGAGATCACACTGGCATGTAAATGTCCCTTTAAAATTAGCTTTTTTTTTTTTTGGTTGTTTGGATTTAACAAATTATTTCACAGTTACCATGTTTTTCTTGGAGTCAGGAGAGGGTACTGTCTGATGTTGCATATGTTACTTTTTTCTCAAGTACTTGGCTATATTTTCGCATATCCGTGGAAAGAAATCTGTTTCTTTGTCCTTCTGGGTAATTATCACCAGCTCCATGGAAGAGATACATGCTGGGCAATGTCTATATATTTTTGTAATTTTTTTTATCTGAGTATAGTTGACACACAATGTTACATTAGTTTCAGGTGTACCACGTAGTGATTTAATATCTGTATGCCCTGCTCACCACAAGTGTGGCTGCCATCTGTTACCACATAACACTACCTCTTGAATAACCCTTTTATTTATTTATAAGATTTTATTTATTTATTTGAGAGACAGAGCACAAAGGGTGGGAGGGGGGCAGAGGGAGGGGGAGAAGCAGGCTCCCTGCTCAGCAGCCTGCTGAGGGGCTTGATCAGGACCCCGAGATCAGGACCTGAGCCTAAGTCACATGCTTAACCAGCTGAGCCACCCAGGTGCCCCTTGAGTAATCCTTTTAAGTCATGTTTTTTCCTCATCCTAAGTTACAGAATGATTAGGGTATTTTAAATAGAAACCCAGGTTATTTTAGGTTTTCTTGACCTGCTCAGCTTTCCAAAAATAAAACCAATGACTACTCTACCCTAAAGGGTATATTCGAAGTTGTTGCTTTGTATAAAACATGAGACTTCCAAAACTTCTGTTTTTAAAAAAATTAGGGAAAAAAATAATACAAGAGACCTACCAAGGAGTTTTCTTCTCTTGATTAAGAATAGAGTTTGGTTTTTATAAAACTTCATCTAAGGAAAAATTTGTTTTCATAGTGAGCTCTATTTCTGTATAATATTCTTTTCATAAGTAAAAGTAAATCAGAACATAATAGCCAGGGGGTCACCCCAAGAAACAGAACAAAGATCAGAAGAAAGCTGGTGAGTGGGGTGGCATCCCCTGGATGCAATGGGCCACGGTTTCCCCCAAGCAGTTAATTACAGGACAGTGGAAGCGGGGGTGGGGAGGTGGGGAAGGGGGCCTGTCAGAGGTTCTGGGTCACTGCTTCCCTTCTGGGGAGAGTCGTGAGGGTGCATATATGCACCTCTAGCTGGATGGCTGTACTCAGTAGCCACGGCTCGGTTGGGGGGTCGTTCAGACAAGATGGATTAGAGGCAAACTTCCTTTGGTTGTAAAAGGCCACATTATTATTATGATCACACTTTACATTGTTTTGCCCTGCCATCCTGATACAGACTTGAGGAAGACGGGACACACGGCGTTCTAATTGTTAAACATTAAGTGTTGTCAAAAGCTTAGGGTTCAGTGTTTCGAGCTGTGGGTGAGTATCAAGCTTTAGGTGCACACCTGCCCAGTGACAGGATTGGCTGTGCCACCACGAAACAGGCCACATTGGTGGGCAGTGAGCTTTCAAAGCGCTCAGCGTGGTTCAGCTCAGAGACGGTGCATGGTGGGTGCCATGTCTATGCCACGGTCACCCCTGGCTGGTAGACGGCAGGGTCCACACAGTAGCCCCAGTGTTGCCTGTGAGGCCGTCCATCATGATTCTAATCCCTTTCCATGACAGAACTTCGCTTGTGTGTAGGAAGTTATCGTGACCTCTCAGCTTTGACTTACTTTATTATTTTTTGTGTGACTTCACTAGCATAACAATGAGAACTGCAGTCTCGGGAAAATAATTCACTGACAGACCGAGTTCATGGCTTCCTGAGACAGGGGGCAGATTGTGGCCGACCCATCCAATGCTGGGCCTGTGGACGTCGAGTTCATATAGAGGGAGCTCCATCTCAGACCGCTGTTCCTTGGCAACATTCTCCTGCTCCTGGGATTTTTAACCAGTGATACTGCCCTGGGTCTTAGGAGTTACTCCGTCTCTACCTAAGCTCCCCAGACTTTGTTATTCTTGTTTCCTTTTGCCTTTGGTATTTTTTTCTAAGTATTAAGAACTGGTTGCCCTGTCATGCATCTTCACTCAAGAGAACCTCAGCCTGCAAAGTTTGCTTTGTTTATGTTAGATTGACTCTCAGATGGGGAGATTTGGCATTTTTTAAATTATTCTGAGCTTGGGTTACCATATAGTGGAGAAGAGAGAATCAAATTGTTTGTGGAGGCACATAATGAAAAAATTCTTGGTAATAAAGTTTTTTCGGTGTTGTGGATGGAGCGGGGACAGTCCTCACTGGTCACTAGCAGAATTCAGTGACAAGACCCCCTTATAGATCGCTGTTGTGAGGATAAATACAGAAGAGCACTTCACAAATGAGAGCTCACTGTCACATCAAGCGTGGTGGAGGATAAATGGATAGGAATGGAAGGAATGCAAGCTATAGGGGCATGGCTAGAAAACTGCAGCCCTTTGTAGGCTTGAGTACGGTGTCATCTTTAAAAATGTCTGTGTTATTGGTAACAATAGGGAAAGTGCCTGTACATTGCATTAAGAGTTGAGAGCAGGATATAAAACTGTATATATGGCATAATTCAAGTAAACAGACAAAATCTGTACAAAAAGATGGGAAAGAGCTATACCGAGAGTTATCACTGATGGTTTGTTTGTTTTTTTCCTGAGTGGTAGGATTGTGATTGCGTTTCTTCTTATATACTTTTTTAGTTGGTTTCTAAATATTCTTTGGTGTAATAAGGAGAAGAAATTTGTGTTTCAAAAATGACTCCTTTCTTGGGTGCCTGGGTGGCTCTGTCAGTTAAATGTTTCCCTTTGGCTCGGGGTCATGATCCTGGGGTCCTGGGATCGAGCCCCGCATCAGGCTCCCTGCTCAGCAGGGAGTCTGCTTCTCCCTCTGCCCCTCCCCCTGCTTGTGTTCTCTCTCTCTCAAATAAATAAATAAAATCTTTTACAAATTTTTTTAAAAATTAAAAAATAAAAATTATTCCTTTCTTACCCTGAATCTGATCTTCACTGCACTGAGCACAACAGCAGAGCCCAGAGCAAATGTCCGGAGGCTGGAGTTGGCTCACGTGTGTTCTCAAGAAGACAAGGAATCATGGTTTGGAGTTAAATTCGTGATAGGCCCATTGTGTACATGCATGGCTAATTTCCATTCCAGTGCTAGGGGAGTGCTATAAGATTTTACTGTAAAATGTAGATTAAAATATAGTCATTGTCCCATGTATCTGTGATTGTCTGCCTTGTTATGCATTAACTAGCAAGTAATTCCTATTTATCATTTTAAATTTTGCTTGTGTGTTCAGACCGTAATTCGGCAGCTTGCCTTTTGTAAACTTTAATATACCTTTTGCAGACTTTTTTATTGGTTATATTCAGAGCCCCATTAATTAACAGATCAGAAAATTACTAAATATAACCAAAACTTTCTAGTAGAGATGCTCATATGCAAGTGGGTCCTGCTGTTCTGGGACATCAAAACCTCCCATCTCAGGACTTCGACTCCGAGACCGCTGTTGAAAGCAGACTACAGATAACCTTTCAATAGTCTCTGCTATGTTGACACTCACTCCTAATGTTCAGAGTGATACTCATAGCTACCATTTATTGACTGGCTGGGTGCTGGACATTGCAATAGACATTTTGGATATATGAGCCCATTTCCCCTCTCCACAGTTCTTGGAGGTAGGTGCTATCATGCCCATTTTACAGATGAGAAAACAGCCTCTAGGAGACTGGATAATTTACCCCGGGTCACACAAATCTGGGACTGGCCCCCAGGGCCTGGCTGGACATGCCTTCTTTCTACCATCTATGTTGCTTTGCTCAGCAGTATTATTTAAATTCGCATTATTCAAATCAAACCAAATATTTAGGAAATGAGTAACCAAAGGACTTGAAATGAGGGTTCTCTTCTCAAGGTTTAACTTGATTTGCGAAGTGTCCCAAATAGCATAGGTCATATTTGGCGCATGATTGTGTGAAATACTATGTATGGTCCCTTCACAAATTTTATTAGAGAGGAACAAGTAACAAATTAAAATTTTAAGCTCTCTGCAATGAATG